CCAGCATGGGAACAGCGCGCAGGGTCAGCCCATGGATGTGCCCCTAGTTAACAGCACAGCCCCATGTTCTGGATTTGGCCACATCACAACCCTATGCACCACCCAGAGGATCTGGCCCACAGACCAGGCCCACAACACTTGAAAACATCCGAAACACTCAACAACCTCCATAGTCAACAGCCTCCATAGTGATACATAACTGTGACGGAGCACCTTTGGGGTGCTCGCCACGTGGCAGGGGCTGCAGTAGGCTGGGGCAAAGCCAAGCAGGGAAGGCAGCCAAGTGAAGCCCCAAATCTCATTCTAAGGTGGGAGGTGTGTGGGGGAGCACCTTTGGGGTGCTCGCCACTTGAGGGCTCTCACAGGCTCTGAGGAGAGCCTGTTTTGGAGGAGCAGCAGGGGAAACCTCCCCCAGGTACCATTTTAAGGGGGAAGGTGTGTGGCAGGGCACTGTGCGTGCCTGCCACTTTAAAACCGAGCCAAGCAGTCAGCAGGTGCTTGATTGCGGTGGCCATTTTAGATCTCTGGCTGCCCATATAAACAGAGGCAGTTCACTGCTAGCAGGGCAGGGCAGGCAGCAACATCGCCTGGCTGCAAGGCTCCATAACATCCTGGAGGAAAGGGAGGAGCTGTAGGGGATGTTTAGGAGGCTCCTGGTCCTGGGCACAACCTAAAACTGCACCCTGCCGGGAGGGGGTGGCCCGGTGGGGCTCTCAGTGGTGCAGGAGCCCCCAGGAAATGCCAGGCCAGTTATCATTCTGGTGAAAGGCGGGTCGGGGCACCTTAACCCCAGCTCCCACCTTCGGGTGAGTTTATGTAACATCGGAGAGTGGGGGCCAGGCACAGCTGAGACCACCTGAACCCTGTGGGGTGCAATAACTCAAGGAGGAAGAGTTGGGGCCAGGCACGGCTGTGGCCACCTGAGCCCTACGGGGTGCAAGACCCCGAGGAAAGGTAGTGGGGGCAAGGCACGGCTACAGCCACCTGAACCCACCGGGGAGGGAAGCCCCGTGGCCCCAAGTGAGGGGGCGGTGTGGAGCCCCAAGTGAGGGGGGCAGAGATGAGTAGGCCCAAGTGAAGGGGGCGATGTGGAGCCCTGAGTGAAGGGGGCGGAAATGAGAGCCCCAGTGAAGGGGGTGGTGTGGAGCCCCAGACAGGGGGTGGAGATGGGGAGAAGAATCAGAGGGCTGAGGGCCCAATACATTTATATACACATAGTGTTACCCCCAGAAGGGGCCAGAGTAAGCTTAGACCTGGTCAGGTAATTGACTGGCCACTACCCTGGGAAGGTTTTGGGAGAGGCCCAACAGACAGTACGTCTGCCACCCAAGGAATGGACTAGCTAAGCCTATGGTCTAAGGGGCCCGCTTGAAGAGGGAGCAAGGCAGCATAAGTTGGTGATGCATGAAAGAGACCCTCTGAGAGAGGGTGCAGTGTGTGAGGCCAGAGTGAGAGGTGGGCAGTATGAATGCGTGTGTGACTGAGGCCTGATGGCATGGCCTAAGCTTGCTCCAGCGGTAGGCCGGGAGTATTGTAACAGCTGGATGCCATCTGCGAGGCATGGGCTGCAGTATAGGGGAGGTACAGAGCTGCAGATAGTGCCCCCTGGCATCGGAGCAGAAATGGGCAGCCTCCCGCCTAATTAACATCATACTGATTACCAACAAGGTGTGGCAGGAGAGTCAAGTGGGTTGCGTGGCCATAGGCAAGTGGGGAACCTAGCACTGTGGCTAGGCAGGGAGCCCCACTTTGCCACAGTAAGTCCAAGCAAAAGGGGTGTCTTTCAATTTGGAATTAAATTTTCTCTGTTATTTATGAGAACTCATTTAAGGAGGTTCTGGATATAAAGAAATGAACCCATACATTTAACTGAGGCTTTTTTCAGAAAAGTCTGACTTGGAGGATTGGTTACAAAGATATAATTAAGGATGTTGCTTAAGGGATGGAAGAACGTCTTGGAAAGTAATGCTTAGTACTGGAAGTTATAGGGCATCTTTCCACATGTTCTGGAAGGGGGGGATAGGGGGCACTTTAATTAGAATGCCTCTCAGGAACCACTGCAATTAAAGCACCTGCAGCATCACATGTATTCAGCATCCTGCATGTCAAAATGGTGGTGGAGACACTAACTAAAGCTCAAATAAGTCTTAGTTAAAGTGCCCTGCCACCATTTTGAAGCGCAGACACGAGACACCAAGTCTGCATTCCAGCAGACTCGACTAAATCTGCACTGACACATTGTAATTACAGCATGTCAGAGCAGATGTCCCACACACCTACAGGCACACATAAGCACTAAGGTTTTCCTGATTCCCCTGCTTTATATAACCAATGTACCTCCTTGAGTGGTCTGCATTGACATTTTTGGGACAGAGGAATAAGAAAGATTCTAAAGGGGAAAAAAACTAAAAAACAAAAAAGTGTCATTCTATACTACATACATTTTATAAGCAATTTTGAATGAACATGGTATTTTAAAAATATATTAGATATCAATAAGTGCCAGTATCACCTCTTTTAAAAATCTAATTTTAAAAGCAATCCTAATAATGCATAAAACAGTCCAAGTTCTTCAAACATCTGCAATAGTAAAAAGTCCATTTGTCCAATGAGTGATGTATCAACTATCTCTACATACTGGTGACATCTGGTTTGTGGTCATGCTACACTACAATCCATCTGCTCACATAGTTTTAGTGAGACACTTAAAGAAACCAGAGCTGTCAGGTGTAATGTACAAACAGTGTATTACCAAAATACAGGGTGACCATATTATTCTGAAGGAGATCTGGGACAGGGTAAGGAAATCCAGGATGGGGGCACCACAAATACCCCTTTCCCCCCAACCCCATGGTTCCCAAGAGCCCTGATGGCAGGGCAGGGCAGGGCAGGGCAGCATAGCACAGAGATTCGGTCAGTCTCTATCCCCTGCACTGCACACAGAGGCTGGACCCAAGTGGGAGTAGCCCTTGTGCGGTGTGCCTTGGGCTCTGCCATCCTGCATGGTGAACCCATGCAGTGCCTCCACCCCGCTGCCATCAGCAGCCACCCAGGACCGACACATACAACCCAGGCCTCAGCAAGTGACACAGCATGAGGCTGCAAGTGGTGGGTGGCCATCCTGGCTTGTCCAATGCAGGTGCCCACGCCCTGGCCCACCCCACCATGCCTTGACCAATCTCTGTCTCAGGCAGGCGGAGCAGTGCCTAGCCCAGGCAGCTCCCACAGCCTCGAGCCACTGCTTAGGAGAAGCCAGGCTGAGGATGTGCAGGCAAGGTGGTGCCACCAATCTGAGACTTCTGCTTCAATTTTCATCAAGTGGTCAAGACTCAGAACCAAACATTTCAACATGAAAATAACCTTCAATAAAATGAATATACAAACTCCTAATTTGTTTGCCTTTGAAGCTCATACCAAATACGACAAATGGCCTTGCTGCCCCTTTTTTATGCCTACACACAACATGATGAAGAAAGATCTGACTAGATTTGTCTATCTAAATCCATCCTCCTTTGAATGTTTGAGCAATCCAGTTAGAAATTTTCAAGCAATGACACATGTAAAAGTTTAACATCCCCCCCCCCACCTGGAAGATTTTTTTTTAAAGTAAAAACAAGTAGATTTTAGTGGTCATGCACGTTTTGAGTAATTATACATGATGCAGCAAAGGTCTTCCTCACAACTTTGTAGTTTAGCCACCAAGAGATACCACATAGCAAACTCCAGGGATTCATCAGTGTTAGCACTGTAGTTGTGCAGGTTTTTTGTGAGGGGTTGGGGTTTTTTTTGTTAACTGGTAACTAGATTCACAGACCCAAAGGGTGCAAACAGACATCACCCTTGTACCACCATAACAGTTTTTATGGAGGCACAAGTTCACAAGGAAACAGAGGTCCTATCCCATTATTGTGCACTAAGTGCCCGAAAATATTACCACGATCAAAAGCAGTAACAGTTTTTGTGATGCCTTAGACAGGAGGACGTTTCTTTATTTATTGCACACCACAGGAATTCACCTGCAGGATTTCCATACTACATATAATCAGACTGCCTCCACCTCAACTCAGCACATGTGACTGCAAGCAGGGGGATCCCTCACTTTCAGACACACACACAGAATCTCCTTTGGGGGACTCCCATAGTGTGTGTACCAGGTTGCTGTGTCCCAAGTTGGGGCAGATGTCTGCAAGAGAGGGGAAGCCCCATGAAGCTCCCCAACTTGCAGACACATGCTGCAACTCGGGGCACAGCACCCAGAGTTCCTGTCCTACAGGACTGGGCCTCTGAAGCCCGAGAAGCAGCAAAGGCCCGACCCTGCGGGACATGGGCCCCAGTGAAGTCCATAGATGCCAATAAAGTGGATCATCTGTGCCGGGATACAACCCAGCACAGCTGCTCTTGCTTCAAAAAACAATGTCTGTTTACAGCCAAAGAGGCTCACTGACTACTGTCTAAACATTAGGATGCATTAGCATTTGTGTGTGCTTCCAAAGCTAAACAGAAACAGAAAGCTCTTGAAATGTCTCTGTGGGAAAATAAAGCAACATCTGTGAAGCTAATCACCATGTACAAACCTTTAGAAAACAGCAGCAGATCTTTGTCCGCAAAATAAAATAGGAGCTAGGGGTAAGATGGCTAGGCTTTAACAAACTTTTTTTTTTTTTTTTTTTACTTCCCCTGCCTGCATCTATCAGAGGCTCCAATGTGTTTGTTTGTTTTTAATTTCACTTGGCTGCAGTGCAAGTTAATTTAGGTTCTTAGTACTGACTATATGCATATATTTCCTAAGGTTTTCACTGAATATTACTTGATGGGTTTGTGTTTTGTTAGTCTTAATTAGGAACTCAACTATAAGACACCATCCTTACGAAGACCAGGTTTATTACAACAGCGGGTGCACTCATGTTATGGAAGAAAGGTTGCCAGCTAAAATTTGCTAAATATAATTAACGCATTTATTTGTATTTTGATTTTAGGGACAACTGAAAAAATAAACTTACCTAGGATTGTTAAGAATCTTTTCCAAGTTGAATTCTTTGAGGTATGTAATTATTGCTGCCAAAGAGCAAATCACAGGCTTAGCCAAGTTCAGGATTACAGACAGCTTTTGAGACCCTGCAAAATAAGGTTTTGTTTGCTAAATAATGGTTTGTTACTCACACTTTGGACAAGAGAGTCATCTATTTTCAATGCAGTCAAGTAAAAATCTGAAGGTTTATTTTAGTATGACAATGTTATAAAATCAACAAAAATAAACCTCAAAAACAACATTTACAATACAGAACAATGCAGTTCATTCACTTCTATATTGTTCCAATATGAAATACTAAACTGTGCACTCTTCTTTTCCTAGAAATGGCTGATTGCCAACTCCGATAATTTACAGCTTTACAAGCCAAGGTTCTAGTCCTACAGCCTGTTACATAAAGGTGATATCCATGCAGCAGCCCAATGAGCTCTGTAGATAAATTAGAACAAATATGGGCAGACTTAACATCTGTTTTTCTTAATAAAATGTTCATGTCAGAAAGCTCAAGGAAAATGCAACACAGGAGGCTGATCAGTTAGAGATACTGCACATCCATGACAAAACCAGAGTTTGAACTCTGGTCTCACGACATTTCAGAGTGAAAACCAGGTCCTGGAAAGTGCAAGCAAAACACCCATTTCTGTAAAATAATAAACTTTTAAAGAGTACCACACACTAAACATAGCAATGCATGGCAAATAGCAATCCTGGCAATCAGTATATACAAAATACCAATGGAAAAACATACAATTACCATCAAACAGAAAAAAAAAGTTTCCTGAAATATAACTCAACGCATAAGCAAGGGTGGAAAAGAAGGGTAATTTGCAAAGAAGCTGTATTAATATTTGGGGGGGGGGGGGGGTTTTTTTCCCCCCCGACCCTGGGTAGGGGCACTGAAACATTCTATTTACTGCTAAAATAAGTGCATGCATTCTAAATTAGTGACGGGAATGAGGTAAATGATGACTATACCAAACCTCCATTATTTATTCTCCCCTTAATAACATCCCTGACAACATCTAATCATGGTTAAACAGAAAGATTTATAAAGCAGGCTTGTCCAACATGCGGCCCACCAAGCCATTTTATCTGGCCTGCGGCGGCGGCAGTGCCGCCACCACAGAGCGTGGGGCCGCAGCAGCAGCGGAGCATGGGGCCGACGCCACAGGGTGGCAGCGCAGAGTGCAGAGCCGCTGCCGTGGAGCCACAGTGGTGAGGAGCTGCAGGGCCACAGAGACGGCGGGTGGGGCGAGGCAAGGCGGGGGCGGGGGGGCA